GTCCGGACCAACGCTGGAAACGAACTCTGGTTCGTTTAAAGCGGAGCAAATTATCAGGTCTGAATACGACCTAAGTTTGTTTGGTTCTAAATCTTTAAACCGACACAAAAAGGAGAAATATCCGCTATATTAGTGTTCTGAAATAATAATCTTTAAGTCCTGCAGAATAATCCCAATGTTTTTATAAGCTTTTCACATGTCTCAGATGATAATGTTAAAAGCCCTGGCCATGAAATAGTTCTGGGATTCTGAGGGGAGTGGCATCTCCACTAACCAATCAGACTGTGGGGATGGTTGGCAGATCTTTCCAAAGCCATGACTTAGCATTTTAACAAACATGTTTTATAACAATGATTCAATGGAAAGTATTAATCATTAGATATTAGGTTTATCGTTACGCATCAAAGCACTGCAACACACAAACCCAGACAATCTTCTTACCGTCCAGCAGCCAGCTGTGGTTGCTCAGCTGCTCCAGTTTGGGCAGTACCAGCCTGATCACCACAGGGTCAGGAACCAGCATGCCTCTCTCCACGTAGCTCCTCACCAGCAGCCCTGCCTCTGATCAACAACAAGCAAAACCAGTTGTGGRAGAGCATTCTGCTTCTTGGCACGGATTAGAACACAGAACAAGGCCTGTTTTAGTATCCAGAGTCACCATCTGAGGGAACTTCCTGCAACTCAAAGCGTTTAACCTTTAAGTTTGGAAACTGAGGGGAGTCCCTGTTGGATAAATGTTCTCTCTATCACCAAACTAAAAGTTCGATTTCACAGGCCTGAAAACGGAAATGCAAAGGGTGTTCTGCAAGAGACATAACTTTGCAGAGATTTTTTTTTAAAGAGTAAACTCAATGTAGGTTTCACTTTACTGTAGTTTTTTTTTAAGTTTTGCACATTCAGAGACTGTAATCTGTAATAAGGAAGTTCTGGGGGTGTTCACACACAACCAACGGTTTCCAGATGTTTTGAGGAAATTATGGTTATGCAATAATAAATCTTAAAGTAACGCTCTAAAAGAATAGGCAGCTTTGCAAAGAAACAAGAGAAAACAAGAGAGAAACCAGCAGATTTGTTTTTCGTCTCAACGTGTGTCTCACAGCCAGATGGAGGGGGGGAAAAACAGGACAATTCCCTCCATCTGGCTTATTTTACAACTTCCCTCATCACTGCATGCGTCTTTGTTGTCATATTAACGACAGGAAAACATACTAATCGTGAAACCTAAACATGAAGCAGAGAAAACGACGCGCAGCATTCAGAGATCAGGCTCTTCCTGTTGACACTGAAGCCTCTTGGTTTTATTTATTTATTTATTTTTAGGGTTTTCTCTCTCTTACCTGTTTTGGCTGCTATGCCCTCGCGTATAAAGCGCCCACTGGACAAGTACTGCAGGCCAAAGCTGTGCGCGATCCTCTCGGATATCGTGCCTTTTCCTGATCCCGGTGGACCCATGATGGCTGCACGGAATAACTTTGCCATGTCTCCAACAACAACAACAAAACAAACAAACACTAATCAATCGGATAAGAAGCCAACGATGCTCAAATACCCCCTGCTAGTGCGCGAGCTCAGCTCCTCCACGTGAACGATTATAAAAACAGAAAACAACCCAACTCTTGAAAAGTCCGACGCAGATCTTTCTAAGAGCCTGGAGGTCTTTTTACGCACGGCCCCTCTCTCTGCAGGCGCGCATTTGGAATCTTGTTCCCCTCAAACCCGAACGAGGTCAAAACAATTTCTTTTTCTTTTTTTTTCTAAGGATGTGCGTGACTCGCTGCGTCTTTAAGAAACCCAAGACTTTCCTCCGCGAATGAATGACGAAGTCTCTACAACGCCCTACTTTATTGCGCGCATCATCGCGAAAAAACGCGGATGACTAAACGGKGCGGGGTAATCTGGTTCCTGTAGTTCTTATGTGGTGGATTTTGTAGGCGGTTAGCAGCATTCGGGGTGGGCATTATTTCTTAATTCTGTTGCCTATTTTAAAATAATATCTATGAACTCAGCAGAAAGTAAAAGTAAATAAACAGTCAGCAATTTAAAAAATGATTTGGATTCKTCTGTTTAAACTATTTTTACAACTAGATAAGGTGAGAATTGCATTTTTAAAGGAAATAGTGTGAAGCTATGGTGATTTTTTTTAAATCAGGAGATTATACAAAATTTTTCGCATTATATATATGACTTGCATAATTTCTCAGATTTTTTTAACACCGTACAGATGCAAACATAAGGACATAAAGAGAGGNAAGAAAGACCGTCCATCATTAAACAGAGGTTGAGGCCTCCGTTTTCAATTGTCCTTCTCCTACAGCGCGGCTATAGCCAGTATCACTCCACCCCCTGCTAACAATAAGTGTTAATTAGGTGTCAACGATAGCCAAGTGATGTGAGTATCAGTCACATATCATAAGTCTGAATTTTGCCTGAAACTCTCAGAC